AGCTCAATATTAAAAATAATAAAATCTATAAAGATAATTTAAAAAAAAATCATAAAAAAATAAATCATGTGGGGAAATACTGTAACAATCCATTGTGTTTTAAAGAAAAAAATTATAAAGCTAAATTCTCAACCAGCTCAATATTAAAAAAAAAAATTTGACAAAACATTTATGAAAAAAAACAAAAAAAATGAAAAAAGAAGAAGATAATTTTGGGGAAAAAAGGGGAAAAAGGAAACTAAAAGATGTGGGGGAGGTTAAAGTTAAATTCTTAACTAACTCAATATTAAAAAAAATCAACAAAGATAATTTTGAAAAAAAAACATGTGAGGAAACACTATAGCAAAACAAAAATCATTTAAGGAAATATTGTAATAATTTAGAATATTTTTTTTAAAAAAAATAGGGAAAACATTGTAACAATTCACGGTATTTTTTTTGAAAAAATTACAAAGTAAAATTCTCAACCAGTTTAATATGAAAAAAATAAAATCGACAAAGATCATTTTAGAAAAAAAAATTCATAAAAAAAAACCTTGTAGAGAAACATTTTTGTAATCCATAATGTTTTAAAGAAATAAAAAACTACAGAATTAAATTCTAAACCAATTAAATAAAAAAACACAAAAACAAAAAAAGAATAAAAAAAGAAAAAGACAATCTTGAGAAAAAAAATGTAAAATCCAAAAAAAAAATAGAAAAAGCTACAGTACTTTCCCATGGGTAATATAGTCAACAATAAAATATAAAAGAGTTAACAATATGTTTGTATAGTATTCAGTAGGGGTGAGTAAAAAAACTGAAAAATCGATTAAATTGAGAAAACTGAAAAAAAATAATGGAAAAAATCAAACAAAAAAACTAATTAAACCGATTAAAATTGTTTTGAAAAAACTGGTCAAGTCGGTTCAGTTTTGATTTTATAAGCAAAAAACTAAAAAAACCAAACCGAACCAAAATCGAAAAAAATCGAGCCAAACCAGTTTGAACTGGTTTTTGCCTTGAAAAACAAATCGAACCAAAACCGGTCGGTTTGACCTGGTTTTGGTTGTTTTTTTTTTAAAATTTAGTTTGGTTATTTTTCTAATAAAAACTGAACCAAACCGAAAATGATCAACCCTGGTATTCACTGTACATGCTTTAGTTGTTTCAGAGTTAACTCAATATATGAATTTAATGGAGTTTAATATCCCCTGAAATTTATAACAAAGCTAAAAAAAAACAATATTGTTTATAGTAAAACATAATTTCTCATTAAATTTATATATAAAAAAATAATAAATAACACCTTAATAGTGAAATGTTTATTATGTGTCAATAGTGCAACACAGCTGGACAATATTCATTCCAAATTTTTCCACACATTTACATTATTACAGGCAAGGTTGTTAAAAATACTTTTTTGACACAACATGAAATATATAATATAAATTTGGATTATAAAATTACAAAAAAAATATTTGAACTATTTATATATTGACAATTTCAGTCAAGTAGTAAATAATAATATAATACAATTAAAATAAAAGTGAAATAATTAATACAAATGTCCAAACACCTTAAAATATATAATTCAAATAAAAATTTATACATGGTTTAAATAACTTAAAAATACAAAAAGCAAAAAAAAAATTAAACAAATATATTTTGTTGATAGAGTTTGAGAACATTTTATTAAGGACAAGTCCTGAAACATACTGCATGCAACTAGTAAGATAATACAACATTCTAAGGTATGTCACCAACTTCAAAAAGAAATTAATAAAGACCAATACAGTAAACCCGTGACAATGAGAGCAAAAACATACAAAATAACATCAATTTAATTTCATGCCACCTCACCTTCCACCTTTTTCATGTTAGTAACAAATCCTAGAAATAATGTACAAATATCCCATCAAGCAAGACATGTATTTCAAGTTCTCTATGAATCCTTGTCGTCTTTCTTTGTCTCTCTTTATAGTTAACGAATGGTTAGTTTAAAACACAGTATTCCTCTCTATATAAGTATTTTTATCTTTTATTATATTATATTTTTTTGATTCCTCATTATTTATCTCTGTCTTTTCATGGTTTCGATCCTTTCATAATAATGTTTTAATTTTTGTGGATTAACATTTGAAATCAGTTAAACTTGTAAAATTAGTTTGATTTTAATTAAATTTTATCAAATTTAACTGAATTTTGACTTGATTTAATATATATATATATATATATATATATATATATTAACCTGTAAAATCATATAATTTTAAAAATAAACTCATAATTTTAACAGCGTTGATAACAGGTAATCCTTTATACCAAAAGAAGATGATAATTTGTTTTTTTATTTATTTTTAATTCAAATTAAAATAATACGACGGAAGACTTGTGTGACACAAGTCTAACTGGTCCATGGGGTTAGCTTATCACCGCAACTCCACTTGCTTTTATAGCCCGCTGCTTGCGCTTAAAAGGTACTCTTGGCTAGAGGCCTCGAACCTCTCCTCTTGCTTGCCTTAGATTAGAGCTGCAATTGGCTAAAAGGAAATTCCAACTGTAAAGAAAGGGCTCTCCCACTGGATCGTGAAGCAACGGTAATGCAACTACTGAGACTTCCACGTGAACCGCAGGGAAGACTGAAGAAATCCCAGGGACTTACATTCCAACTCAAAACAACCAGGAAGGTAAAAACAAGGAAAGCAGCGCCTGGGGAACCTGACTATGGAAAGGATCCCGTAGTGGCTCCACCGCTATAGTTAGGTAGCATAATAATCAAAGCGAAGGCGAGCCCTGGAACGGAGAAGCGATTCTAAAAGAGCAGGTCAGGTCCTAACCCCTCCCTGCAAGCATGAAGTGAGGAAAATATCTCTCCACGGAAAAAAAATCCAATCAAATCATGTATCACTTGATACCGTTACCAAAGAGGTCTACCCTTGTATACTCTCTTAAAATAAAATGGATACCCTTCCCGTACTCGGACTGAGCCTAGTGAAAGAATGGGGAAGGCAATGAAATTCTTAAGATACGAACGGGAAAGATGTGAAGCACAAAAGTAGCTGCTATCGAATGCCCTTCTTCCCTGGCTGACTTCCGCCTATTACCAAGAAAGAGAATCATGCCTTTTTGATGACAAGAAATCCTTAAATTAAAGCAAAATCGTGGATCCAAAAATCCGTTATCTCCTCGTGCAGCTTCTGGGCTAAAATCCAATCTTTTAAGTGAGAAAGTCGTTATCAATACAATTATGCCGCCGAATACAATCACTTTGAAGAAGTCGCAAGTGCGGGTTCCAATGGTAAGTACGAAACACTCAATGGAGAATAGGGATCGCTATGCCGAAGAAAGAGAGAGGTTGCACCAGGAGAAGATAAGGTCATACCAAGGGCTTTCTATAATTTAAATCAATGGCTTTGTTTTGAAAGGAATGTATCCAGCCTAAACTTAAAGGCGGGCCTATCCTATCCTATAGGCAGAAGCTACCTATCCGACTAGTAGAAAGCGTGAGGAGGAAGACTTCTATTCGGCCCTCCCGGGCTACGAAACCAGGCCGTGATCCGCATCGAGAAAGAAATGTATTCATGCATCTCTTTAGTTCGAGTGCTGGATTTCTTTACTTAGAAATAGAGAATTCTGATTCTAAAATCCATTCTCTCACCAACATATATGCTATACCCAGAGCGCTGAAAAGGGCTGATTCTCGCCATCTAGGAATAAAGAACCGGTATCTTCAATGAAAGCTATCCATCGCTCACCCCCTCTCTCATCATAACCTATTTCAGATGTACCCGTCGCTCCTGGGAGTTGACTTTCCTTCTGAGGATGGAGAGAAGGCGTTTGAGATGGCGCCGGGCTCCTGCCTAGCTTCCTGAACCCAATCTGAGCTTCCAATGCGAGGTTTGGGAATACTACCTGACGAGTACCCGTTGACTTTCAATGTCGATTTCTATATGTCTACTCCCGCGCATACTCCTTGAATATGAGGCAGTGCCAATTGTTGAAATGCCATCAGATGAAGCAAACTCTGTATCTGTAGATCATGTAATTCCTGCGCCTACTAAAGCCAATAAATATACCAAATCTTACTACCGCTAGCTCCATTAAATCTGCCAGTCTGCATCAGATTATCTCAATGAATAGCCATCATCCCGACTCGAGAGATCATTGTTGTGCTTCTGATGGCGTCGTTTCACTTCACTTGGACACCGAATTTCTAATACATTCTTCACTGATCCAAAAATGGGGCACGAAATAACGGACCTTTTAAACTGGCATCTTATCATTTTACTTTTCTCTTCCTAAGTTTCCGGATTCCTAGTCTAGAACTACAAGAGAAGTTTCCTTCCTCAACTCAATCGAGGACTTCCTAGAGGGTCGATGTAATTGAGCTCGACTGAAAGGAACGAAAGCAAAGAGAATGGAATATGGAATCCGGGCGGGATTGGATTGTTCTGAAGCTCAATCCTATACTTACCTTGAGTGCTGCCTCTCAACAACTGGCCCTAGGCTTTCCTGATAAATACTCCTCTTCTCTTACTAAGTCGAAGCCAGGGATTGTTTAATACTTCTTAACAAGTGGAACACTAACTTTAAGTCGTATTTTTTTTCTACCTTCACCTCACTTCTCGCGACCTTCTCTTAGTTCATCCAGGATCTCAGTCTTCTTTCTCTGCTAGATGTTCAACCGGTGTGGTGTTAAGGTTTGGTCCTTGGTTAAAGAGAGTTGCTCCGCGAACTCTTCTTCGTCCTGCTAAAGCACTACTTCTAGGATTGGTTCTTGTCGCTTCCTTCTTCTTTAGGATTCCAATTCCTTACGCACCAATGGTTCTTTATTTAGGTTGTCATTAGCAGAAGGGTTGCTTCTACTTCTTTCTTCCTAAAAAGCCCTTTACTAGTAGGCTAGCTCTTGCTGCTTTTCCTTTTCTACGAATAGAACCTCTTTTTTTTATTCCTAGCTATGCTTTCAGGACCCCCTTCCTTGGGTCCTTCGTTTCACTGATCAGAATGAGAATAGGCCCTCATGTACCTCAGTTACAGATGCTATGCTTTTGATTAGTCACTTTCAATCCAAATAAGCGTGTACCTCCTGAGCGAGACTAAGCACGAGACAGCACATGCTAGTCTAAAGTCTGCTTTTGAATCGAACTTCTTTTTCCTTGCCGGAGAAAGCTTCTTCATCGATCGTATTATTAGTTGTGTCGAACCGGTACGGTGAAAAAAGAATCTAGTACCTTCCCTCCGAAGTAAACAAAAAAAAAAACCCATTAATTCAATAAACCGATACAAAATTCTTAATTCTTAATCCCTCTCTCAAAGAGAAAAGTGAGCGGAAAAAAAAAACAGTAAAGATGGTAGCTCGCCAATTCATCATCAGCCACAACGACTCCATCTTCGACGTCGATTATGACACCGACGACGGCCTTGAAGTCAGTCTCTCACTCTCGAAAACACAATTCTCTCAATTTAAATCAACAGTAGTGTTTGTTTGATTGTTATGACTAATATTGCAGGATTTTAAGAAGCAGCTTTTCTATCTCACTTCAATCCCTCCTCATCTCCAGAAGGTTTTTGTTCTTTTGTTTGCGTCGTCATCAACACTTGCGTGTGTGTGCTTTTCTTTTTATTGGTGTTTTTTTTTGCAGATCACCGGAGAGGATGATGATCGGGTCGTATCGGACGATTCTGATCTCACTGGCATTTCTAACAAACTCAAATTGATAAAAATCAACGAGGAAGAGAAGGAAGTCAAGGTACAAGAGCTTGCAGTTAGTAGACAAAGTGAAGAGTTTGGGCGGAAAATACGGCCCTATATCAGTCGAGTTCAAATGGTAATTTCAAATTTTGAGGTTTATCTTTTTGTTTTTCTTCATTTGTTTGGTTACTGAAAAAGAGATTTGAGTTTCAAAATGTTTCATTTTATTCTTCCCAATAAAATTAAAAAAGGTATTTTTTTCAATCTGTTCATTCAACAGGAAAATAGCGTGCAATCTATTTTTATTTATTTGTTTGTTTATGATCGATTGTTAAATCACTCGCACACTAGATAGGGATAATTTCCAAGAGAGAGTATTTATTTAGTACTTGGCCTGTTGTTGATACAGTATGAAGACCCAGTGAGGCAGGAGGCAGCACGGAAGACGGTTCCTAGAGAAGAGCTCTAGGAGAAAGCTTTGGTTTCTCTGGCAAAGGTTTTTTTATTTTGTATGGCTTTTTGTTTTTGTTTTTATTTTTATAGTGATGAGGAAGCTAAACATTTGAGTCATTGGCTATAGAATAAATGCAGAATAATGCTAATGGCATTTGATAGACATGTCACAATGAGTGTAGAGGTTTTGTTTCGTTCTCTATCTTTTTGGTCCCTCATTGCTTGTCGAGGCTCAGTCTCTTTTATTATAGGCTCAGTCTCTTTTATATAATAATCATGCAGCTAAAGTCCCTGTCACGGGGTTAAATTTTTTACAATAAAATTCAACTTAATGTTCTAATTTAGTTCCAACTAAACTTAGCCTTGTCTTCTCTTTTCGCTCGTGTTTCCTACAATTATGTGTTTCGCTCACCCAACAAAATTCTCATAATTACCAAGTCGTATAAAAGGAACAAACACAAGCAAGCATGCAAGTTTACAAAAATACCTTTCAACCTTTATTTATTTCATTAACAAAGGATTACACAATACAAGTGTGTGTGCTATGCACAAAATCGCATGCTACATAGCAGAGACTTGACAGCCTATTTATAGACAAGTATGAGTTGTTAGGCTCACCCATAATCCCTATTTTTCAGGCCATAATGGGGCACTTACTTCCCATGATCTCCATGATCCCTCATTTTCGAGGCATAGTGGAGCACTTGCTCTCCCATTAACTTAGTGGCTTACATAGTGGAGCACTTCCTTCCCCACTCAGCTGTCACTTCCTCACATTTTGCCCCCATGATACAGCCATATTCTGCCTATCCGCATGGCAGTCTCACCTGCCTATTCTACTGCGTCAGCTGCTAACTTAGAAGGTCCATCATCTAAGCCCTCACGTCCATACCAAGTCGCAAGCTCAACGACTCGCATAGATCATTGCATGCTGCTTGCCGAATTTGTTTTTGCCTATGCAAGGCTGTCACTGTCCATCGCTGCTGAATTCTAGACAATATGCTTTCATTGGCGCATCCCCACGCCTAGAACCTTAACAATCCCTCTGTTTTGGTTGTCGACCACTTGTGTTTTTTATATTTTGTTTTTTCTATTATAAAATATTATTTATGAACCTGAACTCAGACTCACCTTGATTTCATCACCTTCTTAACCTATAATATTATATATAAAAGTGCATTAGGGTGTCAAAACAGTTAGTTGACATAAAACCCTTCACTGTTTGATTAAATCATTAAAATACCCTTGGACAGCTTTTAGCATAATAAAATTCTCAGTGTAGTTTGTCTCACATTTCATTATTACATGCATTAACTATCCAATCAAATACACCTCAAATACAATCTATAGGCTGTAAACTTGATTAATTGTGCTATCTTAGTATCAAAACAATTTAGAACAGCTATTTGGACCTGTGTTGAACTACAGTTGAACAGAACAAATTAAGTTGGACAGAAGTTTGGTATAAATATGGTATATTCAAAAACATTCTCTCACACGCATCACTCATGGTGGGCGGCCGACTGCAATGGAAATAATATTTAAAGGATTTCTCGCATCGTTGTGGTTATCTTGATGCTCAGTAGAACTATTGGGAGCAGTATATTAGTGGTCGTAGTTTTTTATTTACAGGTTTGTTGGATGGAAAACTTGGAGACCTTGGCTAGTTTTATGATTGTCTTGCAATGCTGACTCGTGTTTTATCCTCGTATTTTTTTTTTTGTTTTCAACTGCAATTTCTTATCTACTCTTATATTTCAATGTGAATTGCAACCACGTCATAATTGGAATAAATAAGAAAGGTGGTTCATGTTGATCAAACTGGTTTAAGCTGTTTTAATAATTTCACCTCTAGAGTTTGCTCTGCTAATATGCCATGGTAATTGGTAATTTTATAAATTTGTTTTAGGAGGGGAACTTTAAACCATCAAAAACCGAACAAGACCATGCTTTCCTGCTGCAGCTGCTTTTCTGGTTCCAACAATCATTCAGGTGTTTTTCATTCCTTTTCTGTTTTTACGTTGGATTTGCCCTTAAAATTAACAAAATACTGCTTAATAAATAGTCACATCTCCCAGCAATAATTACTTGCACAACTTACAAGTAAGTACTCCGAGTAAGGAACTATACTCTGTGTAAATAGACTGTTTTCTTGTGTATGTTATGTTTATAGAATGACACTATTTTCATAGGAAGATCATTTTTAGGACTAGATATCTCATGTTATGAGTAGCACCAGAGGATGGTTCCTCGTTGATGTAACAAACTCTTGAGCAAACATGGAATTTGCTTTTTTTGCTTTATGATGGCAGGAAAGTGTGATTAAATTGATAGGATCTTAATTTCTTGGATATGGCCTTTATTTGCTATATCTTATATCTTATTAAGTTAAATTTTAATCATTCTAAAGTATAAATTTCAGCATCGTACTTATACATCTTATATCTTTAATATCTAAGTGTGTATTTTATTGTATAATTTTACACCCCACATATATTAAAGTCTATATTTAGACCCTAGAACAAATATTGAAAAAAGATTTTTGACATTTTAGCCTAATTGATAATTATAAACTAGTTATAATATCTATTTTTTGAATTTTCAAAATATAAGAAAGTTGCAATTTTTTTAATGAAAACATATTTGAAAATATTTTAGGATTTGGTCGTATGCATGAAAACAAAATATTTTTTTTTTGAAAAGGAAAATTAATTTAAAAGTTTTTTTGAGATTTTTTTAAATATTTTGAATTTTTTTAAAAATATTTTAGAGAAAATTGGGTATTTTAATATCATATTTATATTTTAGAGTGTAAAAATACATCTTGATATTATGCAAAATGAATAAAAAAATATCTAAGAAAATCATAATTTTTTTAAATGATTTTTGAATTTAGTTTTATTTTTTTTAGTCGGACTGGACCTGACTTTGCTATTTAGGCTAACTTAGAACTAGGCTTGCCTAAGTGAGTGAATTATTTGTAGAACATAAACAATAAGTTTACGTACTGCATGCAACTTTACAGTCGCAAACAGTGGAATGAAGTGAGAGGCAACCTTATGGAGGAGAAGAAGATGTTATCACTAGTCTGAAATGAGGTTGGAGGTGATCTGATCATAAAAAAAGAAAGGCTGATGGCGATGTTGGTGGAGAGTTTTGGCTGCTGGAGTTATTGTAAGAAAAAGAAGAAAACTGGAGTTATGGTCTAAGATAGCTCACATCCCTAAGATTACAGTCATTTAAGATATGCAAATTAAATTTGTAATGAGAATAAAATATATATTTTCGTAGTGTTAATTTGTTGTAATTGTTTAAATAATTTTCTCAAATTGATATAAATATATAAAAATGATTGGTTCATTAATTGAAACATGTTTTACTAGTATGGTAATAAGTATTTTTTGGTTACTCCAAAACAAAAACTTTTATAAGAAAATCAACTGTTGAGGTTTCTCAACTAAAATATTAATCTCTTTAAACATCTTTTTAATCTTCATTTATGAAGATGTAATTAATTGAAACTAATAATATTTTATCATTCAAGATCTCCGTGCAAAAATATTTGCTCGATTTTCTTTTATTCATTTTATTTTATTTCATTAAAAACAATCTTTTTTAAAAATAATTTAAAATCAAGTTTGTCTCTTCAATAATATCTATATGTCAATTCAAATCAAAAAAATTCATGAAAACTTAGACTTAAAATAAATAATATCGGAGATAGATAATATACATAATCAATATTGTTTAAAGTAAAACATAACCAAGACAACACTATAATGATACAATATTCACTTTACACATTCTCTCCTTCAATTTATATAAAAAAAATAGTAAATAATGCTTCAATAGTAAAACGTAAAACGTTTACTACGCGTCAATAGTGACATACAGCTGGACACTGTTCATCCCACGTTTTTCACGCGTTTACATTACAGGTAATACTTTATACCAAAAGAGAACGATAATTTGTTTTTTATTTATTTATAATTCAAATTAAACTAATATGACGCAGGACTTGTGTCCAACCGGTACGGTAAAAAAAGAATCCAGTACCTTCCCTCCGAAATAAGCAAAATAAAAATCACATTAATTCAATAAACCGAAACAAAATTCTTAATTCTCAATCTCTCTCTAAGGGAAAAGACAGGAAAAAAAAAAGAGTAAAGATGGTAGCCCGCAAATTCATCATCAGCCACAATGACTCCATCTTCGACGTCGATTATGACACCGACGACGGCCTCGAAGTCAGTCTCGCACTCTCTAAAACACAATTCTCTCGATTTTTATCAACAGTAGTGTTTGTTTCATTGTTATGACGAATATTGCAGGTTCTTAAGATCCAGCTTATCTCTCTCACTTCAATCCCTCCTCATCTCCAGCAGGTTTTTGTGGTTTTGTTTGCTTCGTCATCAACACTTGCATGTGTGTGTGCATTTCTTTTTATTGGTGTTTTTTTTGTAGATCACCGGAGAAGATGATGATCGAGTCGTATCGGACGATTCTGATCTCACTGGCATTTCTAACAAACTCAAATTGATAAAAATCAACGAGGAAGAGAAGGAAGTCAAGGTACAAGAATTAATTGCTGCTGTTGTTGGGCGGCAAAATGAAGAGGAATCAATTCGTGATGTGCCGGGTTTTTTTTCTTATAATTTTTTTTCTTTATGCAATTAATTCAGAATTTTGCTGCTGCGGCTGCTGTTGTTATGCATTTGTGTATTGAAACGGTTTGTTGTGTAGATTCTTGGAGGAGATGACGTGTCGGATGATTCTGATGTCGTTCATGTTTCGAATGAACTCAAAGAATTAACTGTTGCCGATCTGATGAAATCGGATGAGGAGCTTGCGCACATGTTACAGGTTTTTTTATAATTTTTTGTGCTTGTGTTTCAATTTTCGGTTTGTGAGAGTGATTTAAACATTATGTTTATAGGGTCTGTTTGTGTTTAGGCAGAGGAGGAAGCGCTTATGTTGCAAGAGTTTGCAGTGAGTGAACAAAGTGAAGAGTTTGGGCGGCAAATACGGCCCTATATCAGTCAAGTTCAAATGGTAATTTCAAATTTTGAGGTTTATCTTTTTTGTTTTTCTTCATTTGTTTGGTTACTGAAAAAGAGATTTGAGTTTAAAAATGTTTCATTTTGTTCTTCCCAATAAAAGTAAAAAAGGTGTTCTCTTCAATCTGTTCATTCAACAGGAAAATAATGTGCAATCTATTTTTTTTTGTTTTGTTTTGTTTATGATCGATTGTTAAATCACTCGCACGCTAGATAGGGATAATTTCCAAGAGAGTATTTATTTAGTACTTGGCCTGTTATTGATATAGTATGAAGACCCAGTGAGGCAGGAGGCAGCACGGAAGACGGTTCCTAGAGAAGAGCTCGAGGAGAAAGCTTTGGTTTCTCTGGCAAAGGTAATGGCTTTTTGATTTTGTTTTTATTTTTATAGTGATGAGGAAAATAAACATTTGAGTCATTGGCTATAGAATAAATGCAGAATAATGAGCAACAAAAGGTCAACTTGGAAAAAAAAATTATGCTAATGGAATTTGATAGACGTGTCACAATGAGTGTAGAGGTTTTTTTTCGTTCTCTATCTTTTTTGTCCCCTCATTGCTTGTAGAGGCTCAGTCTCGTTTATTAGAGGCTCAGTCTCTTTTATATAATAATCATGCAGCTAAAGTCCCACTATTTTGGTTGTGACCACTTGTGTTTTTTTTTCCCGTTATAGAATATTGTTTGCGGACCTGAACTCAGACTCACCTTAATGTCATCAACTTCTTAATCTATAATATTATATATAAAAGTGCATTAGGGTGTCAAAACAGTTAGTTGACATAAAACCCTTCACTGTTTGATTAAATCACTAAAATACCCTTGGACAGCTTTTAGCATAACAAAATTCTCAGTGTAGTTTATCTCACATTTAATTATTAGATGCATTAACTACCAATCCAATACACCTCAAATACAATCTGTAGGCTCTGAACTTGATTAATTGTGCTATCTTTGTATTACAACAATTTAGAACAGCTATTTGGACCTGTGTTGAACTACAGTTGAACAGAACAAATTAAGTTTGACAGAAGTTTGGTATAAATATGGTATATTAAAAAAAATTCTCTCACACGCATCAATCATGGTGGGCGGCCGACTGCAATGGAAATAATATTTAAAGGATTTCTCGCATCTTTGTGGTTATCTTGATGCTCAGTAGAACTATTGGCAGCAGTATATTAGTGGTTGTAGTTTTTTATTGACAAGTTTGTTGGATGGAGAACTTGGAGACCTTGGCTAGTTTTATGATTGTCTTGCAATGCTGATTCGAGTTTTATCCTCTTATATATTTTTTTATTTTCAACTGCAATTTCTTATCTGCTCTTGTATTTCAATGTGAATTGCAACCACGTCATAATTGGAATAAATAAGAAAGGTGGTTCATGTTGATCAAACTGGTTTAAGGTGTTTTAATAATTTCACCTCTAGGGTTTGCTCTGCTACTATGCCATGGTAATTGGTAATTTTATAAATTTGTTTTAGGAGGGGAACTTTAAACCATCAAAAACCGAACAAGACCATGCTTTCCTGCTGCAGCTGCTTTTCTGGTTCAAACAATCATTCAGGTGTTTTTCATTCCTTTTCTGTTTTTATGTTGGATTTGCCCTTAAAATTAACAAAATACTGCTTAATAAATAGTCACATATCCCAGCAATAAATACTTGCACAACTTACAAGTAAGCACTCCGAGTAAGGAACTATACTCTGTGTAAATAGACTGTTTTCTTTTGTATGTTATGTTTATAGAATGACACTATTTTCATAGGAAGATCATTTTTAGGACTAGATATGTCATGTTATGAGGAGCACCAAAGGATGGTGCCTTGTTGATGCAACAAACTCTTGAGCAAACATAGAATTTGCTTTGTTTGCTTTAGGATGTCAGGAAAGTCTAATTAAATTGATAAGATCTTAATTTCTTGGCCATGGACTTTTTTTGCTAGAAGTTTAGGATGTATTCAGCAAGGAGGAAACAAGCATCAATGATTCCAAAATATGAAGTTTTTGGAAGTATTTAGTGGTTCTGCAACAAAGTTTACTTCTTATAAAAGAGAAGGCTTTCAGTAGTAAGAAAGCAGTGGATGGTTGCTGTTCTTGCTCGACGCTTTTTTGTTTATTTTCCAAAGAAAGCTCTCTCTCTATATATTTTTTAAGTTGGTTGGAATCTTTTGCATCGTTAAGTTTGGTGCTTTTTATGTACACTGCATATATGTGCCAATGGCTGGCCAATTGCTTTACTCTTTATTGTCGTGCTTTTGGCTATGAATCTCGTCTGGTAAGTCAGTTTCTGTAATTCAAATACAACACCCAAATGGCACGATCTCACTTTGGACAGACTATGTTCTGTTAGATCAATATTTTCTGATGTAAAGACTGAACGCAATGATAGAAGTCTACCTGGGTTCTGTGAAGAACAATAAAGTTCTCTGTTATTTTTCTATATTATTACAAATCCAAAGTAGATTAGCACTACCTTTGTTCTACCTGGGTTCTGTGAAGAACAATAAAGTTCTCTGTTATTTTCTATATTATTACAAATCTGAAGTAGCTTAATATAGGGACACTACCTTTGTCTGTTTTCAACGTGTTCTGAATGTAGTAAAGAAATTCTGTGAAAACTTGATCCATTTTCAATGGACTATAAGATAGCTAAACTACCTTTTGTGTCTTGGAATGTATTTGGGCTCAAAATCATGGCTTCCCATACAATACCTTGTGAAACGTGAACTAAAATGAAATACTTTGAAAAGGTTGTTCCCCTTTATTGGGAATCTCTTGTTTTCTGGAAGTCCTCTAATGGGCATGCTTGTGTTCATGCACAGTAATAATGTGGAAGAATTTGTGGGGGCTTCAAATTTTGTTTTATGAAAGAAGTTGGCCATGATGAAAGTCAGTATATGACCATTTCCCATATTGTGTTTGATCAGATCCTGGATTTCACTGATCATGTTTGGACCGAGTGCTTTTCTGAATTACTAGGCAGGTAAGCTTCATTAAAAAAAAAATGATGTCTTCTATTTTCTTCAGAAGCATACCAGAAGAGTAATGATTAAGCTAAACCAGGCTCTTTGTCATGGTAACCGTCATTTACATGTACTCTGTGATGTTATTATACAGATGGATGCATCTTGACCCTTGTGCACCAGTGTTTGACAGACCATTACGATATGAGAAGGGGTAATTTTTTACTTAATCTATGTGATCTACATATATGCACATGGGTGCCTACTGAATGATTTTTCTTCTGCCCTGCTTCAGGATCTTCACTAGTCTATTCTGGCTCGGAACATACTTTGTATACATCTGATTTCATTCTTTCCTCGTAGGTGGAAAAAGAAATTGAACTATGTCATTGCTATTGCAAAAGATGGAGTTTATGACGTCACTAAGCGTTACACAAGGAAGTGGGTTGAGGTAATTTTAACTATTGAAATGCCATTCTTTCATGTTGGTTTTTCCATTTCTTCATGCACAATGTTATGTTCTCTTATGTTGAGTTCTTGACCAAAAGAATTTCTAAATTTGCAGGTTCTATCCCGACGAAACATTACCACAGAGCCTGATTTGTTGGCTACTCTCCATAGCATGACTCGAGAATGCAGAAGAAGCTTTACAACTCAAATTCTTTCTGTACTTGAAGAGCGTGATAAGATTGAATCTGAAGAGCTTGAGAGATCTTTATGTTCCACTAATGATTCTTCAGTCTCTTTGCCTGGTAGACAAAGTGGGAACAAGGAATGGCGCATTGCAAGATCAGAAATTGGTTTTCATGATAATTGTTCTTTGAGTCATACTTCATGTCCCATTCGTGTATGCGTAGATGAGCATGTGACAAAGACCTACAATGCATTTTCCCCTCTCCTTTCTTCTTGTGTTGACCAATCTCTTCCCAAATCAAGAATTATTGAAATACTGAAGATATTCAAAGGAATTTTGGTCGAACTTGGGAATTCGTCCTATAAAACCAGGCGAACTTCCATAAACCCTTTTATACTTCATTTGCTGCCATATTTTGAGGAGTTAATAAATGCTCTGTCATTGAAGAGCGAGATTGACACTGATGGAAAAGTGGACATCTGTTTGGCTGCTGACCCTGTCACCACCTGTTTAGGACTGCCTGTTGTGTTGGATGCATTGGATGATTTGATCAATGTTCTTAACAACTTTGACAACATAAGCAAAGTTTCTCTTTCCTGGCCACTAATAAAGTTGAATAGGATCCATTCAGGTTCTGTTCTTGCAAGTGGCGAGGAACTTCCTTTTGGAATTGTGAGTAGTATCCTGTTTCTCTAATTGTCATACATAAGTTTACTTTCGTTGCTCATATGTAGGAATTCTCCCAAAAGTTCCTTTATCATTCCACTTTTAACACAATTTCAGGCCACATCAGCATTTGATGGACTTCGCACGTCTAAATGGGAAGAACCAGATGGAGCGAGAGGTAATGTACATCATATTAGAAAATCTTGTGATGTTGAACTATTAATGTTTGATACAGATCCTTCCATTCTGTGCTCTCAATGTACTGTGCTTGGTGTTGTCTTGTTGAATTGAAAAAATATGAAAATGGCACGTGTTTTGTTGGCGATCATAGACTTTAAGCCAGAGTAACCATGGTTGCAGATTTGGTCTGTTGAACGAATCTGAAAAATCAAGCCTGGAATCTAGATGCCCAAGTTAAATTTTCTTGCATTTCTCAGTTGTTTCTTTGTACTTGGCATGAAACAAATGTTGGATTAATGTTGATGATCCTGTTGAACATATCTGATGTATTTTAACAATGCCTCTCGTAGGTTGCTGGATTGTTTATAAACTATCAGACAACCAGATGCACAAACTAGTGGCATATGATATAATGTCAGCTAATGATGCCCCAGAGAGAGACCCTATGGACTGGTAATATTCTATTAACAACCATCTGGCGCCATGTGAACGATTTCTCTCTGCATTTATTTCATAGTTCTCACAACTACATGTTTGTCGCAAATTTATATGTTATTCGCTTTCATGATTTCTGGTTGTTTTCTTAACAGGGTTGTCGAGGGTAGTCATGATGGTGGTTCTAGCTGGCGTATTCTGGATAAACAAACTTCTCAGATGTTCAAAGATCGTTTTCAGCGTAAATCATTTAAGATTAATTCAGATAGTGTCCCATGCAACGCTTTCAGGTAAATCCTGTTGATCCAAACCAATTTACATGCACTCCACATTTTAGTTCCTCGTGATCGTTGATCTAACAAGTTATAACATGACAGATTCCAATTTCTGGCTGCCAGAGACGTTCAATCAAATTCACGCCTACAATTGGGTAGCATAGATCTGTATGCAAGCAGCAATTAAGTTGTATAAGAGAGATTCCAATGTGCTGACACTCTGTTCCAGACTTTGATGCTATTGTATAACTTACTTGGTAGTAAATATTTGTCCATGGAGGCAAGCAATCACACAATTCTTTGCCATATGGGCACACCGTATTTAGTCAATATGTATTCATAATGGCCCAGTGTTGGTGGTTCAATGACAGCAAATTTCTGTCTTGCCCAGACATACCTGAAATGTTTGAATATGTAGGACATGGAGGTGATTATTTTCAGTTTGGTTTTTATAAAAAAAGTAACCAAATTGGTTTTTCAAAATAAAAATATCAAAACTATTTAAAGTGACCGGTTTTGGTTCAGTTATATTGAAAAAAAACTGGTTTAAATTGTTTGGCTTGGTTTTTTCTGATTTAGGTTGGGTTTGGTTTAATTATTTTTATTTTAGGTTTATAAAATTAAAATCAAACTGGTGTGTAGTTTAAAAAAATTAATTAAAATTTTTTTTTTATGGTTTAATTTTTTAATTATTTTTTTCTGGTTTTTTTAATATAATTGATTTTTCTGTGTTTTCACTCACTCCTCTATCCTATCTTAGATGGCCATGGACAATTTATCATTAAACAAAAAAAAAGAAAGGGAGCCATGTGCAGCCCGTGTCCCATAAAGTGCAGCTAGCAATTCAAAAGGAGTAGCTTTAGCACATTGATCATGCACTTCGTCAAGCCATTTCTTGATTGCTGAATCAGATAACTTGAACGTGTCTGTGACCATTTTCACCGAGGGAGTTTCTGCACTGCCCTTAGTTGCATAGTAATTGTGTGGTTTGGTGCTATTATTAGGATCTTGTTGGTGATGGAGGGTGGTTGAGCTGAACAGGGGTGGGTGCTCAATGGGCTCCTGGCGGTGACTCTCAATCCAGGATTTGAAGAGTATAGTTATGGAAGTTGGGTCTGGATTCATGTGTGAACAACTTAGCCCAAAAGCTACACCTCCTCCTTCAAATTCGTTTACCTGGAGATCCATAGGTGAGAAATTAGTTTAAGCCATCTCCAGAGTTGGAGGTAAGCAGATATACATGAAATCAAACGTGAAAAATAGGAGAATTAAACTATATATTTGACGTATCTTGTTCATGTAAACCAGACTCATACGTTGTATGAATTTACTTCTACATTAACCAATAATTAATGCATGAACTAATTAAATGGACCAGTTTCATTTAATAATTTTTCAAGGAGGACAGCATGCTAAATCCGAACAAGAACCAGGAAGATAACCTAGCTTAGCAGAAGTTGCAGGTTAATCCAATCTTGAGTTGTTTTACAACTGTCGGTAGATTAAGAGTTTTTTCCTTTTTTATTTTTCATTTCAAAAAAATTATTTTTAAAAAATTATTTTTTTAATATTTTTGAGTCGTTTTTATGTTCTAATATCAAAAATAAATCTAAAAAAAATATTATTTTAATACATTTCTAAAATTAAAATTAAATATTATAAAAAATATCACCATCACAATATCAAATAAAATTTAAAATTAAATGATAATTAACTCACAACTAGATCAAAACTCAAATAATTTTTTTAAAATAATATCATTTTAATAATTAATAATTTAGATTAATTTAATCAAATCGAATGACTTTATATTTATAAAAAAGTAAAAGGTTATTGTATGTGAAAAATCAACAAGCACATGCCTAAGTGTTTAGATTTGTTTTTCCTTAAAAACAATGTTCATCAATTCCTACATAGAACATGGTTTTTAGATTCGAATGAGACATGGCACGGAAACGGAGCAACCCAAGTGAAAACTTCAGCAAGTAAGAAAATCACAGGGAAAAAAAAACCCGAATTCGAAAGGGTGACCATGTACTAGGTTCCTAGGTAATTTCCTCTCAAAATGTTAAGGATATATTTAAAAATACGATAATGGTTGTTTCTTAAATAATTTTTTAATATTAAAATATATATTAATAATATTTTTTTATTTTATAAAAATTATTTTTAATACCAACACATTAAAACAATCCAAAACATATAAACTATTTTAAATCTTTTATCTTGGAATCATCAGCTGATCTTAGCCATTCATCCATGGTGGCCTCAACTTTTGCTCTCAAAACCCTAACACCAGCATCATTGCACTTCACTAACCAATTACCCGCCCCCCCTCCGGTCAACTGACCCGTAACTTGTGGGTACGAACAAAGAACCTCTGACCAAGCAATCCTTGAAGGATCTACGTCAAAAATCCCAAATGGGTTTTTCTTGTAGTACTAGAAACTTGTGCAAATGTAGACATGCTACGCCTATGGGATTTCCACAATCCCTTCATTTTTTTGCCACCCTTTGGGATATGACACAATTTATGAAATTGTTTAATTATGTTTAATTAAAATATTAAAAAACCTAACAAAAAAAAAAAAGCAAAGTAGTTTACCACTTCTAATTCACTCTTTTTAATTTTTTTAAAACCCATAAAAGATTACCATTTTGATTTCAATTCTTAGCTTTCACTAAATATTTGACTCGTGTTTTGCCATGGGTTAGATATTTTTTTTCTTAACAAAAAAATTATATATAGACTTTTTTTAACTTTTAACATGTTTTTGAATTAAAAAACTTATACATGTAATCAAACAAATTAAGAATTATGTATGTTAATAAGTAAAAACAAATCATAAATAATGACTAAAAATAAAACTAAAAAAAAATCAAAAGATAGGTATAGATCATGATAGTTAAATTCATAAGACGTAACATTTACGTGGTTATGTTTGCTAAATTTTTTAATTAAAATAATTTTTTATTTTCCCTTTAAATTTTCTTTAGTTTTTTTAGAGTGAACCCGATCTATCAACTTAATGGAGTTTAATATTTTTCCCCTTAAATTTATAATAAAGCTAAAAAAATAAACAATATTGTTTATAGTAAAACATAAGCAAGTGAACAGTGTAACGATACAATATTCACCTTATATATTTTCTCGTTAAATTTATATAAAAAAATAGTAAATAATGCCTCGATAGTAAAACATTTACTATGCGCCAACAGTACTAGATGTCATGCCCCTGCGATACCACGGGCTTGTGGCATGTTTATGCGTTGCTTTGAGTTTGGAAAAAATCATAAAAAAATAAAAAAAAAATATATGGAAAAAAATTATTGCAATCCACAATATTTTCAAGGAAAAAAATACAAAACTAAATTCCCAACCTGTGTAATATTAAAAAAAAAAACTAAAATCAACAAAGATAATTTTGGAAAAAATATAACAAAAAAAACAAAAGGAAAAAAAACCATGCAGGGAAATACCGTAGCAATTTATAATGTTTCATGAGGAAATCTATAGTTGTAATTCTCAACCAGCTCAATAATAAAAATAATAAAATCTATAAAGATAATTTAAAAAAAAAACATAAAAAAATAAATCATGTGGGGAAATACTGTAACAATTCATTGTGTTTTAAAGAAAAAAATTATAAAGCTAAATTCTCAACCAGCTCAATATTAAAAAAATAAATTTGACAAAACATCTATGAAAAAAAACAAAAAAAATGAAAAAAGAAGAAGATAATTTTGGGGAAAAAAGGGGAAAAAGGAAACTAAAAGATGTGGGGGAGGTTAAAGTTAAATTCTTAACTAACTCAATATTAAAAAAAATCAACAAAGATAATTTTGAAAAAAAAACATGTGAGGAAACACTATAGCAAAACAAAAATCATTTAAGGAAATATTGTAATAATTTAGAATATTTTTTTTAAAAAAAACTCCAAAATAAAATTCTCAACTAGTTAAATATATAAAAAAAAAATCAACAAAAACTATTTTAGAAGGAAAAAAAAGAAAATTCATAAGAAGAAAATTCATAAAAAAAACCATGTAAAGAAATATTATAATAATCTATAAAAAAACATACAGAATTAAATTTTCAATTAATTCAATATTAAAAAAAAATAATAAAAAAATTTTAAAAAAAATATAAAAATAAAAGATAACCTTGAAAAAAGCATGTAAATTCCAGAAAAATGAAAAAAAAAAGTAACGTGAGTACTTTCTTATATTGAATGTGTTAAAGTCCATTTCGAATGGTGATAGTCTAGGAAGTTGATCTGCGAAGCGCCGATTGGGTTTTGGTTTTGCATGGTA